TTCCATGTTCTTTTCCATTCCCTCCCTCCCAGCTTACCAAAGGCCAGAGGAAGGGATCTTGAGCTGCATTCAGCAAGGCCTTCAGCGGGGCAGAGACTACCTTGCGGCCCTCGCATCCCAGCAAGATCCTGTACGAGTCAAAGCTAACCCCACCCTAAAAGTCCAAATATCTAGAGAGCACATAGTTGTTTGCCCATATGGATTCCTATGTAGGTACTTTGAGGCTAAAGTATCTTGCAACTTAGCTACTTGGACGCTTAAGGCTATCTCAGCCTGTGTACGCAGCCATTCCAAGGTAGCAATGAGCTACAGCCAGACCAAGCGGTTAACCCCAAACCGGCCAACTCCACATGCTCAAACATTAGGCATTGAGCTTACGAGCCCGTGCTCCGCGATCCCAGACCCCCAGGAGGATCTAGAAAGCAGTGAACCCTTATTACAGTGTCCAATAATACTTCTTGGGAAAATGCTAGGAACCCTTAAACAGGCTGTAGTTTCTAGGCCCTCCCAATCCCAGATCTTCAGTGTGACCGAGAACAGGACGCCGAATGCTTAAACCTCTCCTTTGGAAACTCCCCCTCGGGTTTATGGTTTAGGGTTTAGGGTGTAAGGCCTAGGGTTTAGATTTGAGGATTCATGGTATAGGGTTTAATGTTTATGGTTTCGGTGGTTTCGGATTATGATGACGCCTCCAGGTACCCTTGTTTGGTGGTATGGGGCTCTTGTTCCCGGGTACTTAAACCCTTATAAGGGGTAGTTGGAGGGTCTACCCTAGACCCCAAACCCTAAACCCCAAGCCCTAATCCCACACCCAAACCCTAAGCCCTAATCCCACACCCTAAAACAAAAACTCCCTAGACGCCCTGAGCTTGAGGCATTGTAGATGGTCAGTGCGCTCTTGATATTCAACGTGCAGGTGCCCTCTTTGAGATCGTGGTCTGGCAACATCCATGGCTAAAAAGGGGGTTTAACAGGGTTTGGGGTTCAATGTTTGAACTCCTCAAGGGGGTCACATAGGGAATCATATAGGGGACTATGATAGGGGTTATAAAGGGGGGGTACCAGGAGTTCAGGCCGTAACCTGTGTAGGCTGACATGCTAGGTTGAGGGTGTACCGCGGGGGCCTAAAGGCAATTTGAATGGTAGGGAATCTGCAATAGTGGGGGAATGCATTGGAATAGAAGCTAGGCTACTATAGGAGCCTATGACTTTAAAATAAGATACGTAGTTTTTGGGTATATTTGACTATGGTGTATATTAGAGTGGGGCGGGGGTAATATTGATGGCAACTGTTCAGACTTCTCACCCCAAACTGTAAACCCCAAACCCCAAAACCTAAGCCCAAACCCCAAACCCTAAACCGCAAAGCTCAAACCCTAAACCGACGAAGTAAGTCTACTCATAACCTCCATAAACCATATGATAACCCTAGCTATCCCAATTACTAACCTACTTACTAAGTACCCCTGACCCTCCAAGTACTGGGCAAATGGACTACCCCGTGCTCCTTACTTGCGCCTTCCATCGAGTCGCGAGTTGATAGGCCAGGCTGCGCAGGCAACCCCCGAGTGACCGATTGCAACTTCATAGCTTCCAGTTTCAAACATACCTAACATGTTTGCCTAAACTTCGTAAGCCACGTCCTCAACATAAGGTTTCTTTGGCGAAATCTATCAAGACCTCCATAATGATAGCCTTTAACCAAAAAAACATGTACCTAACGACAATTGTTCTATCCTTGTTATGCGAAGTTGGGAGGTACGGCGGATGGAGGACATCTTGCACCGCCTTGAACCGCCAAAGCACCGTAAATTCCCTGATTGGGGGCCATTTTGGGGGGTGAAACATCTCCTCCATCCACCCTAGACCCTAAACCCTAAACCCTAAACCACTAAAACCTAACCCCTAAACCCCTAAACCCCTAAACCCTAAAGCCCCAAAGCAATAAACCCTAAACCATTACAATCTATGGGTAGGGCCCCGCCTGGCTCCACGAAGATGGGGCAGCCTTCCCTGAACAGAGTTGGGTTCAAGATTTCAACAGAAACCCTAGGGCCTAGGGCTCCAAAAAGCCCAATGTAGGTAATACTGCTGATGGATGTAATCCTACACCACCTGAAGTCCCCAAAGTCCTAGGAATTACCATAGTTTAGCGGCTCTAAGTGGTGCAAGATGTCCTCCATCAACAGTATTGAGGGGGGTTTCAGGGTCTATAGGGCTTAGGGTTCAAGGTCTCAAAAGGAGGAATAGCAACAGTAAGAGCTTTGCAATAGCAATAGCGTAGTAGCGCTACTCAACCTAGACCCTCCTCCTACCCTCAATTAAGGCCTAAGTACCCATTATCAGGGGCCATATATCCCCAATTAAGGGCACTAGGAGGGTCCTGGCTTTGTTTGTTTTCAAAAGGTGGTCCTCCGGTTTTAACGCCACTCTTCCAGGATTGAAGGCCTCCAGGTTAGCCCTTATAGGGTTTAGGGGTTAGGGTTTAGGAGTTTAGGGTTTAGGGTTGTTGTTTGATAATGACTCTTCTTAATTCATTATCAATCACCCTCTCAAGCGGTATAGTGGGCATCCTCCCTGAAGAAATACTGCCGGTAAAAGTAATGCAAAGTAAAATAATAATCACATTACTTCTTGCCTTTCGAAACGAAAGGGATCCTCTAAACTTTAACAGTGCTATAAATCCACACCTGTTTCGAAACCACAGTCCTGTGTCGAAAAAGAGGCTCTGCGATGAAGCTCTTGAACCTTTAACGATTAAGCCGTTGAACCGTTCATCCATTGAATGAAAGAGACCTTCAAACCATCAATCCACTTAACCATGAAACAAGTACACCACTAAACCATTACACAAATAGTTTATGGTGTTGGGCCCGCGTAGAAGGAGGAGGAGGATTTGTTTAATGGCTTATAAGTTCCATGTGCAGAAAACCATTTGTTTAATGGATAAGTGGTTCAACAGTTCAATGGCTTCGCGCAATAAAGGTATAAGCGTTTTGCGTCTGCACGAAACAGTGCTGTTGTTGCGAACCAGGCTCCTCTGGCTGCATCCCTAGGCATTCGCCAAAATACCCCCCAGTAGGGTCCATACTAAGCACCACCAGAACCCCTGCAATCTCCCTAAATGCTCCTACACTAAACCCTAAACCCTAAACCGTCCCTACGGAACCCGCTCATTATCCTGAACCCTAAATAGTCGTTTCCATTTGATTTTCCATTATCTCATTATAACCCCAATATAACCCTTTATCCCCAATATATACCCTGAACCCTAAACCCTAATATACCCCATAACCCCAATATAACCCTTTATCCCCAATATGTATCCCATAGTAATATCCCAGGTTGTGGTGCAACTTTGAGTTGGCTGTCTTTGCCAAGTACCGGGGCCTGAAGAACTTTCGATTTCTTCCGGTGTGGCTACCACCATGGATACTGATTGGTGTGCTGTTCTCATACCTTCTTTGGCGGCTCATTGCCACCTTGCAAGAACTGGATCCAGAATATGGTATAGATGATACTGCCAGGTACAAGGCAGTCAGCGGCGACAAGGTTGCTTTTGGAATACAACGAGTGCTAAAGATATTGACGGACCTTGAAACCTATGCTGTGCTGGAGATGCCATTCTTTGTCGTTGCTGTCGCTTTGCTTCGTAGCAAGCTGGATGGTCACCGTTCTTTGCTTGACAATATGAAGAGATTTGATATCCATCATGCAAAGTGTTCCGTTGAAGATGATCGGGACGTCATCGAAGCTCAGGTTGCTAGACTGTATGCCATAGTCGAGGAGCCGGTCATAGCCCTTGACAGTCTTGAAGGGCAAATGGCTGCTGAGGCCTTACGCTCAATCCCCCTCAGTTCCCCCACAGAATCGGTCATAGCCGTGGACAGCTTTGTGGGGGAACGCGGAGGTGAGGGTTATGCACGGTTCCTAGCAGTGGTGGATGAATCACAGCCAAGGGTAAGCCCAATGCAAAGCAACTCCATGTTTGAGTATCCAGTCATCGCGGCTGACAGCGTGGTTGGCTCAAGAAAAGATGTTGAGGGCTTTGCACGACAAACGTCGGACGGACTCACCAACTCACAATTCTTGGCACCAGTCGCAGATGCTGTCAGTGATGCTGGCTCAGACTATTCGCCGATGGGCGTGGACGTTTTCGCATGGGCAAGGGACATTGAGGGTAACATATGTTTATCACAGCCGCGTGTCGCAGATGCTGTCAGTGATCTAGGCTCAGACTATCCGCTGATGGGCGTGGACCTGCTCGCATGGGAAAACGACATTGAAGGTAAAGTACCTTTGTCAGGGACAGATGAGGAAAGGCGTGCCTTAATGCATGAGTCCGATCGAGATGACTGCCTGCAGGTGTTCAATGATCTTGTCCGACTCCCACTACGTGCAGCGATTGTTGAAGAACTAGGTTTCGAGACAGATTTGCCGTGGGGCGACTGTTTGATAGTGTACATGCCTGCCGTACTAGCGGCAACAGCTATTACATGGGCTGCGAGGGACCTTTATGCTGGACTTGGTTTTGCTTCTATGAATCAATACCTTTTCGTCAACCTGGCACAAATTTCGCTGGCATCGTTCTGTAATCCTTTGGCATATGCTCTGCTACTGCAAGGAATGAACTGCATCACGCCTAAACTGGGTGCTGGTCTTCTGAGAGGTTTGTCATGCCTGGCTTGCGGCGTTCTGGGAAAGGTCTTCGTTTGCGCCCTTTATGCAGTCATCTGTGGGACACTTGAAAGCTATGTCTTGACGCAGCATCCGATGTTTCTGCTTGGATTCCTGGTGTCCTTAACTGCAGCCCTGGTGCTGAACTGGATCTTGTTTTGGGGTGGTCAGCAGTAGTCCAGGAGATCCAGGCACCACTGTCTAACCTATCCCTCTTCGCTCGGTTAGACCCCCCCGCTTGACAATCTTCCAGCTAAGTCTTCATTTTCTGCATGAAGACAGCTTGGGAATGTCTTGGCAGTCTTCATTTTCCAGGCGAAGAGTTCCTTTTGTCACTGGCCACGCCGATGGAGCTCCAGAGGTGTCTCCTCAGGCGTGGTGGTGTTTCTAAATGAGCTATAGTCTAAAGTCCTTAAAGGGGTTATATAGGGGAGTATATAGGGGACTACTATAGGGCTTATTAAGGGAGATACTAGGAGTTTAGACTATAGCTCGAATGATACCCAGACATCGGTCTTGGGCTCACAAGAATTGCCACAGATTACCAACCAACCAGGGTGGAGATTGGGGTTCGGCATCCTTGTGGTACCCCCTTTTATACCCGACAGTTCTTTTCCAGAACAAACCCCGACGTCCATCCCCGTAGATGCGAACAGTCTCAAACATTTCATGTAAAAAAAATATGGGAGAACTTATGCTTTTTATGATAAGCAATCAATAGCATGAATGGAATACATTAATTTTCCGATCTATGAATCCCAATATGTAAGAGAATACGCATAGATTAATGAGGTCATGATTTGGTATTATTAGAGAGGAATATATTCGTGAAATATTCAGATTTAATATTTTGAATAAGAAATTCTTTTGAAAAATCTTTCGATGTAATATTTGAATATCAAAATATATTTGAAAAAATTGACTTGGGGGTTGGCGTGGTCGAAGGGAATAGGATTTAGGGATAAATTCCATTTTCAGAAAGAAAATTCGCCTTTGGAGATTTTTCTCTAATTAATATTTCATCTCTCACTTCTGATTTATATTGGAGAAAGATCTTGGAATTTAATCATCTCCGGATAAAGATTGGGAAGATGCTAATGAGGAGGATTCATTTAAAAAGATATCCCAAAAGAAAACATATAAATTTCTTTGGGAATTTATTCATTTATAGATGAGGTGATGAGGGAGTAGGATTTATAGGATTTTCTCTATCGATTCGTTAAGGAGAAATATTTAGGATTTCGATTTCTATTTATTTATGGATTGGATAATTTTTTTTTAGGAAATAGAATTTGGGTCATAGAATATTAATTTATTGACGGAATTATATAAATTGATTTCTTTGCAAAGAATTCGTTGATTGATGATAGACCTTCTATATATAGTCGGGCATTTCTTGATTCTCTTATTTTGACGATTCTAACTTCTATTCCAAATAACTCGGTCACAATCAAATCCGCATCTTCCCAGATTGAAATATAATGATTAAATAATATCTACTTCTTCATTAATTTTTATGATATTATCCGAAGTTCTTAACTACGAGCAGATATTTCATTTCAGATAAATTGGGGAGATTCTGAGATTGAGAAAAGGAATCCATAATTATGGAGGGACCCTAGGAATTTAATTGCCTAATTCAGAGATATATTCGTAATCGCGGGCAGGGGCCAGCCTGGCTTAAGCGTAAACGTAGAGCTCGAGCAGGGCGACGGGGCGCCTCCGGAAAATTTGGGAGGCGTAGAGGGAGGATTTCATGTAGCAGTCCCCAGTCGCTCATATCAGGGATTGGGTTTGGTTGCTGTTTTGGGGGGTTATGTTTGTGGGAGGTCGATTGGGGGAAGAGAAGGATGATATTGTTGCGGCTCCGAGGAAATGATTTTAGGAGAAGCGATTCTTTCGATTCGGATGAAAAGGCGGCAGGAGGGATAGATAACCGAGAAGATTGGGTTTGGTGTTCTTGCTTCTTGCTTCTCCTGGGGTGCGGAGGATATCGTCAGAACTGGGCTATTGGGAATAACGCTCCTAGTTTTCGCCCTTATCTTCTTCCTCAGAGGGTTGCTACGACGAAACCTTGGAGGGATAGAATATATTGGATTCTTGCCGCTAGTCTATTCTATTTATCCCGCCTTCGATCGTGCGCGGCCTCTGTTGCTGGCGCGCGCCAATCCGGGAATACTTTGGGATTTATCGAAGGGGAATTTATTCCTTCGCTTCGGGATATTCTCCAAGGAGTCAATCAGCTTCACGACCCGCTACAGGAAATTATCCAAGGGCTTCATTTCTATTTACTTGCGATTTGGGTGGCGAAATTTAGAGATATTTATGGAGGATTGGTTCTTCTTTTCGGGATTGGAGCTTGGGTCATGGAGCAGCATTTGCCGGCGGAATTATGTAATTTGGTCTCTTTGGGGGGAGTTTCTTGATTGACTGCGGATTTTCCTCTCTTGGGAAGGATTTTCTTGATTCTGTTGGTTTGATATTTCGCAGCGTATCCAGGACGAAATATCTGCCCGAATTTAAGGGCTTCGCAGAGCGCTATGGAAATTGATGAAGGGATGGATGATGATCTCGCCCCGCGTCTCAGTCCGGAGTGGCATATAGGGCGATTGATTTGGCTTTGACGGAGTTATTTGGAATGGAAGTTGGGGAGATTCTGAGATCGAGAAATAGAATCCGTAATCATGGAGGGACCCTAGGAATTCAATTGCCCAATTCAGGGATATACTCGTAGTCGCGGGCAGGGGCCAGCCTGGACTTCCAAGGATGCTCTGAGGATTCATCTTGATATGCCCCTTCTTGGCGAACTTCAAGGTAGACCTTCGGATGAGGTTCTTAAGGATATGGGCCTGCGCTGCTGTCGCGTTTGCAGCAAAAGTATTAGTCAAAGACATATTTCGGGAATTCATCTCTCGTGTTGGCCGAAAGTTAGGGATCCTATTAGGGATAGCTTTTCTCTCTCCTTGAACGAAACTCAGCTTCCGTCGTTATCTGAAATCTTCACTACCCCATTTTTACTAAGGACCAGCTCCCCTCAGAGCTTTGGCCGATGGTAAGGGAAGAATACGGTAGGCTTCTTGCTGCTGTCAATTGCATATCCAGACCGGATGCGTGGGATCCGTTACCTGTTAGTGAGGGAGGACGAAATATTGGGGTTGATTATCCGAATAAGCAAAGGGCTCGGCAAACGTGGCTTGAACTTCTCATATTCTCCAAAGTTGTTCTACGTCAGAATAAACGTGGTCAATGGAGAGGACAAGCGTTGATATTCCCAAAATCGCTTCTGATACGCTGGCGGTTGGGGGAGCGCCGCGAATTTTGGGATGAGGCCAAGGGCCGGGTGGTAGCTTCGCAAAAAGATAGAACTCGGAGGAACTCAGGAGAGTTATCGTGAGGGGGTGCACGTTGATGGGAGACGACTGGTTTCCTTAGGACGGGCGGGTCGAGCTTTGAAAAGATTTGTATCTCCTGGTTTGGCAGCGCGTACTGAGACCGTCAAGAATAAGCTTCTTGCCAAATTCCCGGGTAATCCCAGGGGCCGGTCGCACCGGTCGGCTCTCCTTCCTACGCCTGAAATCGAACTTAGTATCCTCCTAAAAGCCCTTCATTCGTTTCCTGTTGGAGCTGGGCCAGGACCTGATGGGCTTAGGGCTGACTTTCTCAAGGGTTTTGTTGGGCATTCACTCGAATCTCTCCTTCTCCCAATTCTGTAGCAGTTCTTGCAAGTATTTGCTGATGCGGACGTCCCGGCGGCGTTGCAGCCATGGCTTGCTGGGGCACTCTTGTAGGAATTGATAAGATTGATAAGGAGGATAAATCTATTCCCTTGATTCAGGATGCTAGGCCTATCGTGATGGGACACGTTTTCCGGAAGCTTGTTTTCAAGTGCACCTTCAGATTGGATACCGCTACTATTCGCGACAGGCTGCTTCCCCAGCAAGTGGCTGTTGGGGTCTCGGGAGGAGCTGAAGCCATGGTCCGCCTGGCTAGGGATTGGATTAGTCGTAGTCGGGGGGATCCCACGGTTATCCTCCTCCAGAAAGATATTAAGAATATTTTTAACGAAGTATTTCCTGAAATTTTTCTGGATGAATGTCGTAGGTACGCTCCGTCCTCGGCTAGGTTTGCTGAATGATATTATGGAAATCCTTCCTATTTGATCTACGATGGCGAGGTCGCTATCAATTCGCGTGGATATTAGGGGTGTCCTATGATGATGTCTTTATTTTGCCTTGCCCGTAAGAGGCTACATGAGGAAGCTCAGGCTAATATTGGAAATACTATCCCCTTTGCCCCCGAATACGCGGATGACGGATTTAGTGGAGGAGCTGTCGATGAAGTGTTGAAGCTCTTTCAGGAGGAACTTCGTCTTGCTGAGGAGTACGGTTTGCGGTACGACCTCAATCTTGTTGCTGGGGACGATTTCCGTGGAGATGTCAGTGCCTTTCAAGCCCTGGGGGTTCGAGTTGACGCACCTGCAATACTCAAATCTTGAAGGCTCCTAATTGTGGACCCCCAGAATTCTTGGCTGAATGGTATCAAAACAAGAGATCGGACTTCGAATACGTATTTCAAGCCCTGGAGGATCTTGATCAAAAATGCGTCGCATTTCATTTGCTTCAGACGTGCATGGGTTGGTCCCAACTCAATTATTTGGGCAGGACCGCTCCTAGATATTTCTTGGTTCCCCTCTTGGATTGGTATGACGCTAGATATAGAGAGGTCTTTGAGGTTATGTTGAGGGAAAGAATCACGGATGTCCAATGGCTGCAAGTTACGTTCCCCAATCCCAGCGGCGGCTTAGGACTTACTACGGAAAAGATTCCCCCTGGAGATCAAGTTTTCGGAAGGGCTGACTTGACTTACGTGATAGCGTATCGAGCGAGGGCGCCATTGATTGAAATCTTGGTTCCTCCCCGATTAGATCATTCGGGAATAGGTTGGACCCCAGCGATTCAAAGACTTATGCACATATTTCCTACTTGGCAATCCGAACTGGAGAATCCGGATTTCAGACCTAAACAAAAGGATTTGATGGAAATTACGATACTCTCCTTTAGTAGGTCTACTAGTGACCTTCTTTCTGATCTGCAAAAAAAAGGGGGTCTTCCAAGTTTTTGCCGCTCCTTGGGCGGATGGGTGGATTCGGGCTAATCCGAGTCACGCTTTTGATACTT